GAGTTGGGTGGGGGTAGGAGTTGGGTGGGGTTGGACTTGGGGAGGTGGTAGGTCTTGGGGCGGTGGTAGGAGTTTGGCTGGTGGTAGGACTCGGGGCGGCTGTAGACTTGGGGTGGCAGTAGGAGTTGGGGCGGTGGTAGGGCTTGGGGCAGGGCAGTGACAGAACTTGGGATGGTGGTAGAACTTGGGACGGTGGTCAGAGTTGGGGCGGCAGTAGGACTTGGGGTGTTTGGAGGAGATAAAAGGTTAGAGAGAAGAGGCAGAGGTGAGGAGGAGAGCTACAGATGTGGGGAGGCAAACACAATTGAATTAATGAATTTCTTTATTTATAACTTTTCAAATAAATTCCACGAATTATCATCATCCATCATTGTCAATCTAGAAACAATTTTTCAAAGGGTACCAATCTATGCTGTGACTATCTAAAACTTTTGCTCACAATCTAGATTCTTGGATTTAATATCCAGGGTAAAGAGACCTTTATTAATTTCTTTTTCCAATCATTACATTTCTTTCAGGGGAGTGTTTACATGTCCAATTTATCTTAACGAGGTTGCTCTCCTCTCAGGTCCCTCTGCGTCTACTTGAAATCTTTAAGAGTAACAATTACAGAGTAAAGAAGCACAAAGAGATACTACAAGGCCAACTACAGAGATATCTAATACATAATAGCATTCTAACTTTCTAATTAACCCCACCCCACTTAAAATTACTAAAATCCCTCCCACCTCTAAAGTACTTATTATATGTAATATCCCCTATTACTTAAACTAAGTTGATTACACAATGAAATAATAAACAATGCAAGTTTCCACAGACCAATTTGATAACGTTCTACAATGTCAAACAACAAAGAACTCTGAGTCCCATCAGATGTGTCTTCTCTCTTGAATGAAAACGTAGCATGGCATCCTCTGTGGTCTCTTCATTTCCTTCGCTTCTTTTCAGGCAGATCTTTCCAGTGAAGAGTTCTCTGTTGCCAATCTCGAACGGTATCTGATGTAAAATGTCTGTGGTGATGACATCCGGATCAATTCAGGAGTCTGAGGTACCTATAAACTCAAACAGAAATCCAGACTGCACCATATAGATGTGCCTCTCTTACTGTGAGCCTCTCATGATTTACTCAAACTAATCCTTGATGTTCCAGTCTCTAATACTAATAATACCTCCTTACTCAAAATAAATTGACCCCTTGTAAAGTATGTATAAACTTCCTCCTTTCAATAACCTAGCATGATGACCTTAGCTAGTACTCACCAGGCTCACCTAACAATAGGAGCTCTTGTAACTTCCTTCTCCTTGATTTCATCAATTAACATTGAAAATTCAGGCCAACAGTCAATGAGTTTTGCCAGTTTGTTTCAAAGAACAGACTACTGGCTTTGGGAGATTATTATGATGTTTTATCTTTTTTGTGCTTTTGTTTTGCTCCCTTTCTAATTTCCTTAGCAATTTGGTTTCTTCTCTTCTTTCTTATGAATAAAGGCATTTGCTGGTACATGCCAAAAAACTTTTTAAAAGATCCAATGAACATAAACTTATTAACCTAATTTGATCACTACATCAACTGAGTAAAAGGAAACTTACTAAAAGACTAAAGTACAATATATTTCAAAACTACTTATCCTTAACAACTACATTTCTAGATAGTGTAAATTGTAATAGAGCATAGTACACACTGCCAAGAAGTTACAAGCTATAGTAAACAACACATTTTCAACAGGAACTTTGTGAGTTGCAAACCCACAATGCATGTTCTCTTAGTTTTGTCCCTGGTAACATCTCCAGACTTCTTTTTGCAGTGATGGCAAATGTCTGTGTACACATGCTAGGCTGCAGATAATGGTCCATTTGTAGGCCTTCTGCAGCATGAAGAGCAAATGACAGCTATAAATTCAACATACAACAACTTGATTTCAAATAAATGGGTGATGAATCAGTTATCTGAGGTAAACTGAAGTGTTGCTTCAAAACAGTCCAGAAGCACAAATGCACCATTTGCAAAATAATCACACTAAAACACGAGTGACTGACACGCTTTCAAAGAAAAATACCACAATAAGTCACCAATTTAGTATCTTCCTTGATATGTGTACTTTTGGAAGATTTTTCAGAAGTCTAATTGATGAAACCAAAATTACTTTGTGTTAAAACTAAAGACTGATATTAAAACGAGATTTGATGACTACATCAAATACTCCCATTCATAGGAGTATCTCATTCACAGTTTTGTAAAACTTCACAGTAAAGAAATAGCTTAAACTCTATAATTTTCACTAAAATTGAATAGTACATTATTACTCAGTGAAAATAAATTTTGAAAGCACAGTCACCATTTTAAAATACTGAAAGGATACTGCTAATCTTCAGCTAAAGGCTATTTAAATATTTTAACATGCAAGAATAAAGGTGGGTGATAATGAAAAAAGTCAGTGATGATACTCAAGGGAATGAAACTTCACCATTAGACTCCTCTTCACGTTAGGCAATTTGAAACACACGCCATATTGTTCCCTACTGCTCACGCTGTGTTTGTTGAAACACATGCTCTTTGAAGCCTGCCTCTTTCTTCTCTGTTGCATGGCTGCAAAATGGAGTCTCAGCAACCAAAACAGAAAGGATGACACAAATCCTGCAGCAGGGTTAATGGCAGTAGTGAAAGATTAAACAGAAAGAGAGAGGTTAGACAAACAGTTCAAGGTAGTAGCAAGGGACCAGGCTAAAAAAAAAGTCAGGTAGTCCCAGGTAGCACAAAACATCCAAAAGACACCAGTATCTCCAGACTGAGGACAACATTGAGTTGTCTGATCTACTGGCCACTTAATGTTGGCTCCACCCCCTTTTCCATTAAGTAGACTCTGATTCCTTTGCAGTGGTCACCAATCTCGACCTGGAAGTAAGGTCAGGTCATCCAGTTGGATTAGACATTCACCAAGAAGTCCATGTCCTTGTCACGTCCCCTAACTTCCTCCTCTACACAGATCTTTCCCAGGCACAGCAGTGTGTCTCTAAATGCTAAATTTATTTCCTCTCTCTAAGCAATCAAATGTTATCACCTAATGAGGGGACCAATGACGAAATTCCAAGATGCAGACAAGGGCAGAGATGTAGACAGATGTTTCCAAGACCTTCAAGAGGTAGATTTTCCAGGCAATAAACAGCCTTCACGAATAAACTTTCTGAACTTTCAAAGCAAGCTGATAACAACTCAGAGTCTCTTCTAAGAGTTGAGTATGGCATTTAGGAGTTCTTTTGACTCGCTCCTCTTAGCCGTGGCACATGCAATAAAGTGGGCACAACATGTCACAAACATCTAATACACCTGGAGCCACCAATAGTCTCTAGTTACCAGGTTCAATGTTCTGTGAGGGCCATTACAGGTGTGATGATGGCAAGGTGCTGCAACAAAGCCAGAGTTCTTGGGTACATGGGATCTGCACCAGGATGTAAAGGCACATTCTTCCCAAGCAAAATAAGCATCTGAGAGGGCACATCCTTGTCAGGCCCCACGTTCCATGTTGCAGGATTTTGCCTACTCCTGGGAGAACTGGTCAAACTGCTGCTCCTTGACAATTAAGAGAACCACAAAAGCAGTATGATGAAGGTGAAGTTTCTAAGGGTGTAGCAAAAAAGGATCACGGAAGCCGTTTGACACTGCACCAGTAACTGTGGCTTCCTTAATAAGGCATTGGTCCTCCAGAAACGCGTGGAGAGAACCAAAACTCCAAGAAAAGTCATGTCCTCCTTCTCTCTCTCCCCCTCCATAAAGAAATAGCATTTCCTGTTGTTTGTATCAGCTTCTCTGTAAATATTCAACAGCGACTTCTGGCAGCCTGCAATTCGGATGGTGACAAAGAGGTTTCAGTAGATAAAACCCAGGCTGGTGTCCAGGATTCACTGGAAAGTAAACTTTTAAAACTACTTAAGTGAGCTTGGCAGTCAAGGTGAACAATTCAGAGTTGGCACTGTAGTGTGTGTGCCAGTTCAGGTGGCCCAGACCTCTTGAAGCTAGGTGCCTCGAGTATGGCCTGAGGTACATACAGTATCTCAACTTAGCACACAGTCAGTGATTGAGAAGCTGAAAACAGGTTAAGGATTTTGAGGGTAGAGACCCCATAGGGCAAGACAGGCATTTACACACTGCCATAAGAAGGTGGAGGAGGTGGTGGGGGCGGCGGTGGAGGCGGAGGCGGAGGCGGCGGCGGGTACTGAGGCACGGGAGGCTGACGGTACCAATGAGGATTCCAAGTGATCATAACAGGTACGTATAATGCACGTCCATGTGCATCTCTTCCCACTGGGTACCAGGCGAATCCTACTGGGTAGGTCGGGTACGTCGCATAGGTGGGGTATGGTGGGTATGTGGGTACTTGTGGCACATACTCAACATAAGAGGCCAGGTGGGCTTGGTCATCTACATTTGGAATAGACAACCGAGGGTACTGATGCTGGATGGTGAAACAGTTGGGAGCTCGGCAATCATAAGAAACTTGCAGCTTCCATCCTCTCTTCACTTGGAGGACCTGGGCTCCATTTGGTGCAATGGTTGGTGTGATTAGCCCATCCTTGACATTCCGTGCGACAAAATCTCGCAGAGCAGCCATTTCAGATTCAGACAGCGAGTAAATGTGTCCACTTGGAATGCTGTGGGCTCCTGGAATCATGTCTACACTGCAATCAGGTACTTGGTTATCTGGGTAAACATTTTCATCTACTGGAGTGTAGATATTTTGAAGATAGTAGTATCTCACTGGATGATAAACTCTGTATCCCTCAACAGGGTAGTAAATGGACGGATGTGGCGCCAGAGGAGGAGAAGGCAGCAGAGGCATGTACATCCGGCAGTGGAATCTGCAATAATCAGAATCGAAGACAATTGATCTGGTACTCCAGGTGATGTTGGGATCGTGAAGGCTCAGCCAGCGAACCCCCAGGACGATGGGGAAGAAAGGAGACTGAGTGACATCAAAGGTGAGCACCTCGCGGTGGTCAGCCAGATCAACAATCATCTCGTGCGTTTCGTGGATGACTGGGCCCGATGCTATGGGGCGGCCATCAATCGCTTCCACAAGTATTGGCCAATCTTTTATGCGCACGGGTATGGCATTTTGGAGAACATACTCTTGATCGATGAAATTGCCAGAAGCACCAGAGTCAATCATGGCTCGGACAAACAGAGTCTGTCTGCCCGGGACGTGAAGCTGGAGCATCACTTGCAGGTGTGGAGTTGAAACTTCTTCTCGTGGGGACCTTATTAGTTCCGGCCCGGTCGCTGATGGTCCCTCTACAGCGGGGCCGGGGAGTTTCCCTGCGGCGAAGCCTTGGAGGCCTTGGCAGGACAGTTGTCGGCGTAGTGACCTCCATTTCCACAGTAGAGGCAGAGATTGAGCTTTCGGCGCCTCTCTTTTTCCTCCTGGGTCAGGCGCATGCGGGCGCCTCCCACCGGCTCGGTTGGATCTACCTGGTGGTGGCTGGTGGTTTGCACCACGGTCAGCACTCTGGGTGGGGAGCGCTGATTGCGAGCTGAGGCAGCTCGGGCCAGCCTTCTCTCGATGTAAATACACTGGTTGATGAGTGCTGAGAGTGACTTGGGAACTTCCATGCGGGACAGCTCCTCCTGAATGTGGTCACTGAGGCCCTCGTGGTACTGGTCAATCAGGGCAGGCTCGTTCCAATCCAGGTCCTGGGCGATCATCTGGAAAGCATTGGAGTAGTCGATGACAGACCCCATGCCTTGGCGCAGGCGTCGGATCTTGCGCTTGGCAGCCTCCCGCCTCTGGGGGTCTTCGAACACGTGCTTCAGCTCGAGCATGAAGGCAGGGTAGTTGTGCATCAGGTAGTTGGACTGCTCCAGCTTGGCAGCGGCCCAGCGGGCGGCGCGGCCGGTCATCATGCTGGTGACGAAGCACACGCGGACGCGGTCCACGGAGAAATCACGGGTGCTCTTTTCCATGAAGTGCTGGCACTGCGCCATGAAGGTGGCCAGCATGTCGGGGTTGCCATCGAACTTCTCAGGCACATCTTCTTCTGGGCACTCCTCCTCACAGGGGGTCGGTGGGGCAGCAGCCGCTGCGGCACCACACAGCTCTGGCTCCGGCTCGGGCTCGGGCTCCGGCTCCGGCTCCGGCTCTTCCTCCACCTCCGCCTCTGCCTCTGCGGCCTCTGCTGGCTCCTCCTCGGGCTGGGCTTCTTCGGGCTCCACCTGCTCGCACAGGTTGCTGTTCTCCTCTGCGAGCTTCTGGACCTGGTTCTGCAGGTTGTTCTCCTCCGACTGCTTCATGACTTTCTCTCGGAGGGAGCTGATCTCCTCTGTGAGATCCTCCTTCTTCTGTTCTCGGTTACCGTCGTACTGACCCTTCTGGCAGTTGTTTTTGGAGGAGGAGGGGTCGTTGGGAGTGGGGGGAGGAGGTGGGGGGGGACAGTCTGGCCCCAGGTAGTCAGGTTGAGTGGGAGACCTCCCAGATGCAGCTTCACTTTTGGGGGGCTGGCCGCCTGGATCCTGGACACTGCTTCCACCCTTTCGCCTTCTTGTTTTCAATAGCCGTTTATTCCTGAAAATGGAAATAAAGGTATGAATGTAACTTGTCTGTTCCAAGTAGTGAAATGCAAAGGAGATTTAGTATTTCAAACATCTCTGCTTTTCTTGCCTGTATGATTTTTTTTTTTTAAAAGGGGGGAGGGAAACCTACAAAAGGAAAAGTTAATCAACCCAGACAAATAACAAAAGAACACTTTCCTTTTTTTGATATCCGAATACTTTAAAACTCACCTGTTCCTAATGATCAACAAAAAATAACTATTAACAGCACCTTTACCTTCGTGGACTATGAAAGACTAAGACACACCCAAAACTTCTGTAATAAACAAGAAAAGCAAGACACTTTTAAGGCAAGTGTGAATAAATAACAAAATCATAACTGTTATTCCAAGCAACAGGCAACAACAGCATAAAAGACGGTATTAAAATCACAAAGCTTATACTCCTCAGCCCTGGGGGTGGGGTGGGGTGGGTGTGTGTGTCTGCCACACCTTGGTTCACCTCCACAGAGTTATCAAATAAAACATGCATCTCAATTATCAACATCAAGAATGATTCTTTTCCATTTCCACTCATCTCTTAAAAAACGCTAGCAAAACTCTAGGAAAGCAATAAAACAGGGCAGATTAATCTGTCCTAACTCCTCACTCTCTTTTGTAACCCGAAATGTAAATTTAAAATTAAAATAAAGCAGATTAAAAAAAAACCACACACACACACACCCTTCTCTGGAGATGTTAGGAAAAAAAGCCCTAATATTATAACCAACAGAGGACCAAAAAAACAGCAGGGGTGTTTTGATAAAAATACACTATTATCAACAACCTTGGAAGTTGTTCCCTTCACCTTTCTTAAAACCTCAAATTTTCCACTCCATTACTTTAATAACCTTAACTACAGACACAATAAATAATTACACTCAAGGTAAAATATTCAGGTTTAAAAATATCAGAACAATTAAAACAACTTAATCTATGTCATTTCAGTCTCATTTCAAACTCCTTTAAAACTACTGTATAGCTAATACCAGAAAGTCATGAAACAATGCAATCTTTACTAAATTAAAAGTTTTTTTTTAATTTAGAATTTTTTTTTTTACATTTTATTATTTTTTGTGCATGTACCGTCAAATCAGATCTGACTGGTACAGGAGGAAATTGTCCCTCCTTCTCCAGCAGAGCATCTGGTAGATTTGAACCGTGTGCCTTTGGGACTGCAGTACAGATTCTTGCCACTAGGCCACCAGAGCTCCCCTAAATTAAAAGTTTTAATGCCTCATTAAAAAACAATTTATAAGCACTAGGTTAGTATAGGGTCACTTCTGTCATCTGAGTGCATTTTAATACACTCAGAATACAATGCCAAGACTTCTTAAAGGGCACTGATGTCATGGCCAGAGGCAGCATGTCCCAGGTCAGAGGTCAATATACCTGTCAATCACAGCCACTACATGGATTTGGGGGTTTGAGAGGACTTATTTAGGCCCATGTCTGATGGCGTAAACATCTGCAAAAAATTGGGTCAGAAATAATATTAAATTACGAAACCAGCAAACAATCACTGTATTGTTCAAGGAAACTGAAAAGTGGTGCTAGTTAAAAAGCTCAAATGCCTTTGAGATATAGAAAGGCAATATAAAATTAAGAAATAACTTAGGTAAGACAAGAGGCTCCTCCCCTGCCTCAAAGACACTTTTATTTTTATTACTAAAATGCTGGTGTCAAACAAATCCAGTGACTATCAGGTCACCAGGTTGCCCTGGCTTTTACCAATACCAGGCAGCAAAGCCTGACCTGGGGACTTACAAATTTTTTGATGGGACCAAAAGTAGTAACTGAGGGTTGAACTATAAGAATTCTAGACAGGTAGTTACTAAGGCATTATAACTGTAAATAAAGTTTTAAAATGTTTACTAGAATATGTATTACTTTGGTCTAATTTGGCTTGATTTCAGTTTTACTATTATATAGAGCTCCTTAAACTCCCCTTTCCTGGTGGCTGAGTTGGGGGTGGGGAAGTGGACCAAGGTTGTGCCTCTCAACCCTATTCTGGAAAAATCAAAGGGCACACACAGCATAAAACTGAAACACCTAAGACAGATGCCATCTTCATGTAAGATACTTCAGTTTCAACACACATAGTAATGAAATACATTTGATTAATCCTTGCTTCTTCACAAAAAGTTGCATGGGCAATATCATATATAATTATTCCCCAAACACATCAAAAACCCCACACTAAAACACCCCCTAACAGTAGTCCAAAATTGAATACTAGCATAATATTTCATTAGAGAACAATACTTCATTAAGCAATTGCTAGTTGTTTTACATTTTCTCATGCTGTCCACATTTCTTTGAGTATTAAATATACTGTAATGAAAAGCAAATTCCATTAGAATGTGCATGCTTTTGCCATTGTTTTAGATCTCTTTAAAATGCTCATCATTTCCATAAAAGGTGGCAAGGTGTGTAATAGGGGAGGTGGAGAGAGGTTAGAGGTTTTCTTAAAGTTGCCATGTTAAGCAAATGATTTCTATAGATTTTATCTTTTGGGGGTGGGTGGGGGGAACTGGTTTTGGGGGCCAGGCTCTTAACTCCACCCTTTAGAAAGGTCCTGGCTCACAGTTTGTAATTTATAAAACCAGGTTTTAAAGGTCAGATACAAATAGAATTTTTTGAAAATGGACCGTATGATTGGCAGTAAATTATGAACTTCATTTATATGGGCTAAATCTCAATTATGCCAGTGAAAATACAATCTTTAGTTTGTAATGTAACTATTTTTATTTTATATTACATCTCAAAAAATTATATATAAAGGCATGTATCATAAAGCCAGGCAATTGCCCCAAACTTAAATCTCATTTTTACTAGAAAAACTATCTTAAGTAACTTAAGATATAACTGTTTTGTATGATAATTATGAATTATAGCTTATATTACTAACAATTTTTTTTATCCTGCTAAAGGTGAGGTAAGGTGAACAAAGCCATTAGGGACAGCAAAGCATGCTAAGAAATAAACCAGCAAGAAATTAAAAAACACCTGCAGACATATTGACCTTTCTATTAGCAGGTTAGTGCTTAAACACTGTGCCACCAGGGCTCAAAGTAGATACCAAGCAAGTCCCCAAGGGAAAACTTTTTCTTCTAGTCACTTAACATTTTTAATCAATGCCCATCATGTGCCAAGTACAATTTATTATCTGTGGGCAAGTTACCAAAATCAAATCAGTTGCTATAAGTGGATCGCCACTCTTGGTGACCCCACAGGACAGAATAGAACATAGTCCCCAAGGCTGTGTGATTTTTATGAAAGTAGAGTACACCACCTTTCTCTTGCAGTAGGACTGGAGAGTTGAGCAGTGTTTAATCACTGAACCACCAGGGACCCTCACAGGCCAGGTCCTTTGAAGCTGAAAGAAAAAACCCAGATTCCTGGGCATCATATCACTGAAAGTGGCGCCACGCCAGCAACCCCAATACACAACTTAATAAAATTTATGAAACACTTTTCAAGTTGCTCCTTATCAAATCAACCAATACCATGAAATTTTATCACAAAAATCCACTAGTGTCTCAAATAAAAAACATAACTTAAAAGTAAATTCTTCTATCATTCTCCCCACTAGTTAGAGTAATGAGGACTACCTTGTAGTACCAGTAAAGGCTGGACTACCTTGAAGTATCAACCATGTTAATTTAGAAGTATCATCATAACCCACTGCCATTAGTTTAAATTGTGGGATTATGTTATTTAATAAATGCAAAGCACTTATAAATAAACTTAAAAGTACCAGATTAATTGTGGATTATATTTAATATATACAAAGCACTTATAAAATAAATTTACAAGTGTCAGGTAAATCATAGGATTGTTATTTAATATATTCAAATTATAAATATTTACGTACCAAGAAAATAATGTTATTTAATATATGCAAAACACGTTTAAGATAAATTTGTGTCAGATAATTTTTGTTGTTGTTAATTATTCTTATTTATTATTTTCATACTCATTAGACACTGGTGGATAAAAAGCAAAATTGACAGCACAGAAACTGCAGGAGGGCGGGGTCGTACAGCCAGGCTCGAGCAGAGGGCGCACATGCGCAATAAACGGGTAGGCTGATGGGGGGCGGGGGTGTCCCTCTGTGCAGCCGAGGAAGGCGGGGCCAGGAGGCCACCTCACAGAACTACGGCTTAGGGGAGGTGCCAGACACTGGGGAGGTGGAGCCTGGGCCAGCCAAATCAGAGGGAGGGCCCAAACTTTGGAGGAGGGGTCTGGGCAGCCAACTTCAGCGGAAGCGGGCTTTGAGGTGGGGGTGCCTAGAGAGGCGGGGTGGTGCCTAGAGAGGCGGGGTGCCTAGAGCATGGGCCGACCCAAAGACAGGGAGGGGCCATGTGGAGGCAGGACTTGAGGAGGCGCGTTCAGAGAAGGCGCGCTGCAGGGGAGGCGCGCGCACCCACTAGGCGCTGGGGGGAGGCGAGGAGGAGATGGAGGGAGGCGCCAAATGCGCTGTGATCAGAAGCTGCAAAGGCACGCTAGGGTTGGGGGGGGCGGGTCTCTGAGACTGGCTGCTGAAGGCTGCAGAGTTTCTGCTGGCCTCTCCCCGGTTTCCCCCCTTATGGACCCCTCCCACCACATTTGAACAGCCACATTAATATCTTACTGCAAGCACCATCACCCCCCGCCCTCCAATTCCACCCTCCGATATTCAGCAAACCGACAGTTTCCACAAACTGTTGCTCATCACCATTTGTACTCATAGCCAACGTTACCACTATACCGCCACTTCAATTTAGTTCAACTAGGCTGGTAACCCTCTCTAATACCACCGTAAAATTAGCTTTTATGCTCAACTCAAAGCTTCTCCATTTCCAATACTATACTAGAAATAGGGTGGACAGAATGTTAAACATGATTTTTCACCCGGGGCTCCATTTTGTCTAAGAGTACGACCCTGCAGCGATCATCCAGTAAAAAAACCTCAGCGGGAGCCATTCC